AAGAATCAAGCCAGGGCTCGTCAGTGCTGAAGGTGATGGTGCAGGAGACCCTTTGGGTCAGGGGGCTTCCTGGTGGTGATCCATGGTGGGGGGTCTGAGTTGAAGCAGCTCAGGTCGGCCGTGTGGTGAGCCCTGCAGTGGTGCTGTGTTCTTGTGGGTTACACGGGTTGGGAGGATGCTTGAATTCACTTCATGTGCAAGTGTGTGATGGGTGCAGTGGGAGGAACAATGTGAATGCAGATAAAGAATTGGGCAAAAAGCTTTACAAACCTCCCACGTGACCCATGACTAAATCGCCTCCATGGAGCCTATAGATTTCTTTTATTCTATTAATTTCCTTTTCCTGTATGTTAAGTAAAGCCCACAGATAACAAGCGATAAGGACAGGATTTGAACCCAGGTCTGATTGCAAACAAGTGTCATGTATAAAACCGAGGCCCAGTTTGGAGGGCTTTGAGGGAGCCTTCGGTTGGGAGAGCTCTCCATCTGCAAAGGGCAGTGGGTGTAGCGGAAGGAAGGCGGTCCTCACCCTGCCTGCTTTCATCCGGAACAGCCCAGGGCAAGGCGCTTCCCTGACCTTCACTTTCGTCCTTGGCAAAGTGCACTCTTCATCCGGGTCTCACAGAGCGTGGTGCGGAATAAAGGAACTGGTGCGGGGAAGGCACAGAGCCTCCTTGGGCCGTGGGAAGACAGCTGTGGCTGTAGCTCCGACTACAACTTGGAGTCCTCGGAGGAGCACAGGGCTGCTGGCCTCTTATGTCATTTAATTGCCCTGCTTCAGGCAAGAGTTGTTTACATTCAAGTCCTTCCTTGCTCCCATTTACACCTCAAACCGCTCAGCTGAGGCTGCTCTGGCCAAGGTCACCTATGTTTTGCTCCCAGGCAAATCAGAGTACAAAACAGTAGAAGGTGGTCAGTCCCTATCTTGCTGGATTGTGCAGGCCAGCACTCCCCGCCTTTCGCTCTTGGATTTTCTTCCTGCGTCTCCACTTGCTGCTTCTCTGTCCCCTTCCTGCGCTTCTCTTCATCTGCAGTGCCTTGCCTGCTTGTGCTTTTGTCTGAGCATCTGTCTTAGGTATTATAGTTCCATAATATTTCTCTTTTTAAATTATTTATTATTTGAAAAGCAGAGCGACAGGGACCGGCACTGTCACAAAGTGAGTTAAGCCACTGCTCGCGAAGCTGGCATCCCAGATGAGCGCCGTTTGAGCCCCGGCTGCCTCACTTCCGATCCAGCTCCCTGCTGATGAGCCTGGGAAGACAACCGAAGATGGCCCAAGTACTTGGGCTCTTGCCACCCATGTAGGAGATCTGGTTGGAATTCATGGCTTCAGCCTGGCCCAGTCCTGGCCATTGTGGCTATTTGGGGAGTGAACCAGCAGCTGGACCATCTCTCTCTCTCTCTCTCTCTGCCAATTAAGTAAATCCATGAATCTAACCCTAACCCTAACTGAAACCCTTTAGCTCCAGGTTTCAGCACCATCCAGTTCTCCCACTTAGGCCATCTTCCACTGCTTTGCCAGGAACATTAGCAGGGAGCTGGATCAGAAATGGAGCAGCTGGGACTTGAACTGGCACTCATATGGGCTGTGCCACAACACTCTCCCCTCTGCCCCTAGTCTCGATCCAAATCTACTCATCTGCCAAACTCCAGAGGTATCTTCCAAAACACAACTTGTGTTCCTTGCTTAATAATGGCTTTAGTGGATTCTTACTGCCCAAGATGCATTAACTGTCTTTCTGTCTCTCTCTTTAGTCTCATTTAAAATTTTGTATTTGTTTTCTTTGAAGGGCAGAGAGACAGAGACAGACAATGATCTCTCATCCACTGTTTCACTCACCAACTGCCTACAACAGTAGGGGCAGAACCAAGGAGCTGGGAACTCCCTCATGGTCTCCCACATGGGTGGCAGGGACCCAACTATTTGAGCCATCACCAGCTCCTCCCAGGAAGCACATTAGCAGAAAGTTGGAATCAAGTGTGGAGCTGGGGACTTGAACCCAAGCATGCTGATATGGGATGTGAGTGTCCTGAGCACTGTTTTACTGCTGTGCCAAATGCCTGACCCTCTAAGTCTCATTTTGAAAATAAGCTCGGGGCTGCGCCGTGGCGCACTGGGTTAATCCTCTGCCTGCAGCATCAACATCCCATATGGGTGCCGGTTCTAGTCCTGGTTGCTCCTCTTCCAGTCCAGCTCTCTGTGGCCCAGGAGTGCAGTGGAGGATGGCCCAGGTCCTTGGGCTCCTGTACCCCTCTGGGAGATCAGGAGGAAGCACCTGGCTCTTGGCTTCAGATCAGCACAGCTCCGGCCATTGTGGCCATTTGGGAGTGAAGGAAGACCTTTTTCTCTGTCGCTCTCACTGTCTGTAACTCTATCTGTCAAATAAATAAATAAAATCTTTTTAAAAAAATTAGCCCATCCTTGGCATTCTAAGCTCTGCCACATTTAACTGAGCTGCTTCTTACCCCTGTGGTGCTTATTTCCTCTGCCCTCTGGTGGGTTTCTCATTAAAGATTGATTTTACTTGTTTGAAAGGCAGAGTCACAGAGAGATCTTTCATCCATTGATTCACTCCCCAAATGTCTGTAACAGCTGGGCCTGGACTAAGCTAAAGCCAGGAGTTAGGAGCTTCTTCCCGGTCTCCTATGTGGTTACATGGGCCCAAAGACTTGGGCCATCCTCTGCTGCTTTCCCAGGTGCATTAGCAGTGAGCTGGATTGAAGTGCAGAAGCTGCGACTCAAACTGGCGCCCATATTGGATGCCGGCATTATAGGCGGCAGTTTAACCGACTGTGTCACAGCGCTGGCCCCCCTCTGTTGGATTTCTATGCCTTGGATCTTGCTACTCGCTCTGCCTGGGATGAACACTTCCCCCACTGCACCTCCCACCGTTTGTCTGGCTGTGTGGTCTCCCTGGCCTGGCTGGGGTGTCTCTCCTATGTGCCCCAGCGAGATCTCTCCATCACAGTCTTCACCACATGAGAACCCTTGCATGTGTCCCAAGTAGCATCATTTTTTTTTTTAAGATTTATTTCTTTATTTGAAAGACAGAGTTACAGAGAGAAGTAGAGCCAGAGAGAGAGAAAGGTCTTCCATCTGCTGATTCACTCCCCAAATGACTACAACGGCCAGAGTTGAGCTGATCTGAAGCCGGGAACCAGGAGCTTCTTCCAGGTCTCCCACGTGGGTACAGGGGCCCAAGCACTTGGACCATCTTCTACTGCTTTCCCAGGCCATAGCAGAGAGCTGGATCAATAGTGGAGCAGGCAGGATTTGAACTGGCCCCATATAGGATGCTGGTGCTGCAGGCCGGGGCTTTAACCCACTACACCACAGCGCCGGCCCCCCAAGCAGCATCTTTTTTTTTTTAAGGTGATTTCTTTCTTTCTTTTTTAAAGATTTATTTATTATTTGAAAGGCAGAGTTACACAGAGAGAGAGAGAAAGAGAGAGAGAGGCCTTCCATCTGCTGGTTCACTCCCCAAATGGCTGCAACAGCCAGAGCTGCACCAATCAGTAGCCAGGAGCTAAGAGCTTCTTCCAGGTCTCCCATGCAGGTGCGGGGGCCCAAGATTTAGGCCATCTTCTACCCAATCAGCATCTTAATGCTAGGCCAACCACCCGCCACTGGGCCTGTGTTGTTTTGAAGATTTCCTAGACAATCCAAATGCCCAGTATGGGAGACCAGGGCCCCAGGCCTTTGCTGGTCTCTGCCTACCCCAGGCTCCTGTTACTGTCTTCATGACTTTTCCCCAAGACACCCGAACCCCGATGGACTTCTCATGTGACCCCAGAGAGCGTTCTATTCGGCCTACTCTCTCTCTCTCTTTTTTTTTTTTTTAAGATTTTATTTATTTGAGAGGTAGCTATAGGCCATGAGAAGGAGAGACAGAAAGGTCTTCCATCTACTGGTTCACTCCCCAAATGGCTGCAAAGGCCGGAGCTGAGCTGATCCATATCCAGGAGCCAGGAGCTTCTTCTGGGTCTCCCATGCGGGTGCAGGGGCCCAACCACTTGGGCCATCTTCTACTGCTTTCCCAGGCCATAGCAGAGAGCTGGATTGGAAGAGGAGCAGTTGGGACTAGAACCAGCACCCATATGGGATGCCGGCACAGCAGGCGGAGGATTAACCTACTGCGCCACAGCGCCAGCCTCTCGGCCTACTCTCATCATGACTCCCTGAAATTATTTGGGTGGCATTTGTCGCCCACTTCACTCTCTGCCTCTAGAGGGCTGTCATGTTAGTAGCCTGGACCTGAAAGCCCAGAGCCTTGTGGGTTCCCACTATGAGTTAGATTGAATTCAGTGGAAGCCTGGGCTGCTTTTGCTTTCATGTGGGTTGTCGGGGAATTGAATTCTCCCTTCATCCTCCATACTGGGCCAGAGGGCTTTTATTTCTCCCCTGATAACTCACCCTCTATCAGGCAGGCCACACTGACTATCAATGGTAGGTCCAGGGCCGGCGCCGTGGCTCACTAGGCTAATCCTTCGCCTAGTGGCACCGGCACACCAGGTTCTAGTCCCGGTCGGGGTGCCGGATTCTGTCCCGGTTGCCCCTCTTCCAGGCCAGCTCTCTGCTGTGGCCAGGGAGTGCAGTGGAGGATGGCCCAGGTGCTTGGGCCCTGCACCCCATGGGAGACCAGGATGAGCACCTGGCTCCCGCCATTGGATCAGTGCGGTGCGCCGGCCGCAGCACGCTGGCGGTGTCCATTGGAGGGTGAACCAACGGCAAAAGGAAGACCTTTCTCTCTGTCTCTCTCTCTCACTGTCCACTCTGCCTGTCAAAAAAAAGAAAAAAAATGGTAGGTCCAGTTTGGCCCAAACATTAATTACAAGGATGCTTTGAGGGCACTTGGGATTGTTCAGACCAACATAGATGTGCTTACCAAAGTCAGAAGCTGAATACTGCCTTGCAGATTGATTGATTGATCAACTGATGTACCTTCTAAGAGGTAAGAAAGTCCCCTTTGTCCCAATTGCTTTGGCATCTGAAACTTACTTTTGCGAGCTCCAAGTTGCCTCTCACAACCCCTACCAGGTCCTACTGCTCCTCTTGAATTATTCCATCCCAACAGATCACCAGCCATTCTGCAGTGAACGTAAATGTCCTTTAGTCCCTAATCCTCTCCCTCACTCCTCCCTCTCCTGGTATGGATTCCTGCTCTCAGTAAAAAAAAAAAAAAAAAGCTTATCATCATTCAAATGTCAACTCCTGAGTATCCCAGGTCAGAAATGATCTTTTCTGCACTTCTCAGATAATTATTTTCTTGCCATTTAATCGTCTGTCCATTTCATAAACATTTATCAGGCACCAAATAAGGGTCCGATTCATTTATTCACTGCCTCACCACATCCTATCGCAGTTATTTGTGTCTTCTTCGAGGACAGTGGCTGCATCTTGTTCCTTTTGTTGTTCCTTTTGTATCCTCCTCCCTTGCCCTCCTTCCTGAGAACAGTGCTGGAGCCTTGGTCAAGTGCAACAATGTGGCTGACTGAATTTGGCCTTGTTGAGGATAGTCTTGGCAGTGTGCACTGGGCACAGATTTTCTTCTGGATGTGGGTAAAGAGATTCATTGTCACCCATCAAGGCTCTGAGAGTCATGACATCTCCAGAATGTTGAGAAGTGACTTCAGAACAAAAGGGGCTCGTCACATAATGCCACCCTCCAAATTCTCCCAACTGCCTTTGAAGTAGATGACAGATGCCTTCTCCCATGTCTTTTCCATAGTCACAAAGGTCTAAGTCGTTTGGGAGCAGGCTTATGCTGACTCGGGGCTCTCCTGCCTCCACTGTTTCCTCTGCACGCCGTGTGATTTGTCTGTGGCTGCTCCCAGCCTAGGTGTGCGCTCTGCTGATGTGCTGCTCTAAGCAGCTGGAGTGCTCCCAATGGACTCTCTGTGTGTGTGCATACAGGTGCATGCCGGCGCGCACCTGCTCCCTGCACAGTCAGGACGCTGCTGAACCCTCTTGCCAAACATCTCCCTGCACTTCCTCTGTTGTGCCTTACTTCACCCTTCACTGGCCACCCGAGGCTTCTGCGCAAGGTGTTCCCCCTACCAGTGACCCATTGAGAGCCAATAGTTGGTTTCTTGAGAATGAGATTGAGATTTTCCCAACTCTTAGAAAGGAGCCCCCAGCCTATTTTTTCTGAATGGTTAAAAATAAATCTGGGGCTGGCGCCATGACACTCTAGGATAATCCTCCACCTAAGGCGCAGGCATCTCATGTGGGTGCTGGTTCTAGTCCTGGTTGCTCCTCTTCCAGTCCAGCTCTCTGCTGTGGCCCAGGAAGGCAGTGGAGGATGGCCCAAGTGCTTGGGCCCCTGTACCCGCATGGGAGACAAGGAAGAAGCATTTGGCTCCTGGCTTCGGATGGGTGCAGCTCCAGCCATTGCAGCCATTTGGGGAATGAACCAACGGAAAGAAGACCTTTCTTTCTGTCTGTCTCTCTCACTGTCTGTAACTCTACCTGTCAAATAAATAAATAAAAAATCTTTAAAAAACTCCAAATAAATAAATATAAATCTGCTGACACTGATTACAAGTTTGGCACAACACAGTCCCAAGCTCCATATCTTCTGAAAGATCTGTCTCCAGCGGCTGGCTTTGTGGCACAGCAGGTAAAACCACTGCCTGCAAGCCAGCACTCATATGGGTACCAGTTCAAGTCCTGGCTGCTTCTCTCTCTCACTCTCTCTCCCTCCCTCCTCTGTAACTCTTTCAAATAAATAATTAAATCTTTTTTTAAAAAATCTTTCTCAAGTTTATAAGAGCAAGCTTTCTCTGTCTTTTTGCTTCCCAACTTGGAGAGCTCTCTCAGCTCCGTCAAGGACTTGCCAAGGTGAGGAGAATGAAAGATTGAGGCACAGACACAGTGTGAAGCTGAAACAAAAGCTGGGAGGAATGAAATGTGGCTGAGGGGAAGGTGGCTTTGTGTGAAAGGTGATTTCGGTGAGAAACAGTTTTTACAATGTAAAGTTGAACTGGTGTGTTAGTACAGAGATTTTTTTCCTTCCTTCTACAAATGATCAAGGAAAATGGATTTTTAAAATGTAAACATTCTCTTGTAGTATTTACATCTTCTTTAATATAGGAGGACAAAGGTCTCAGTGCTTGAAGAAAAAAAGCAGGAACAGAGAGATAACAGTTCTTTTACAGTTTGATTGTAATCTAAATATAACAGGAAAATCGCTCTCTACATAAAACACATGAGGGATGCATATCTGGGTGAGATTATTGGGTCTTTTCTCCTTTTTCCTAACTTTTGCTTTCCTCTGAGAGAGGCCTTTGGTGATGAAGATAAATAGTGGCTGAATGAAAAGAAAGCCAGTGTTGGGCTTTGCTGATAGAGGGTTTGGGGGAAATTATTTGTTAGGACAGAGAAGCCAAGGGATTAAATATGAGACTTCAGAGATCACATGGTCCAAGCCTTCATTTTGCACATACGGGTCCTGAGCTGAGGCAGGGTGTGGTTTGAGGAGGCACAATCTCATCTCATGATGCTGCAGCATTCACCTATGCCCTGTGAGACACGTAGGGAATATACATATATTTTTCTATCAAACTGATGATCTAATGAAAAACCTCCTAGGGAAAAAAAAGATCCTTAAATCACCTCCACAGGGACCACCTGTGTCTTTGGAAGCAAAGTCACTCACCAGTAAAAAATTTGTTGGAGACCGGCATTGTGGCACAGCAGGTTAAGTTGCCACCTGCGATGCCGGCATCTCCTATGAGCACCTGCTACGTCAGAACTTCAGCCCCAATGGCTAGGATCTCAACAGAGATTGTGAGTGTCTTGTGGGAGGGGGTATGGTGGACATACATCTCCAGTCCATTTCACTACCACTCCAGTAGTGCACTTTCCTCTGTGTGTACAGCACAGGGCTGTAGGTTAACGCTCAGTGCAACATCTGACTTCTGTGTTCTGCTCCACTTGGCTCTTAAATCACCTCCACAAGGACCTCTGTTGTCTTTGGTAGTAAAGACACTCACCAGTAGAAAATTTATTGGAGATCGGCTTTGTGACACAGCGGGCTAAGCCACCACCTGCAACCTGCAATGCTGGGATCTCACATGAGCACCAGTTTGAGTCCCAGTTGCTCCACTTTTTTTTTTTTTTTTTTTTTTTTGACAGGCAGAGTGGATAGTGAGAGAGACAGAGACAAAGGTCTTCCTTTTGCCGTTGGTTCACTCTCCAATGGCCGCTGCGGCCAGCGCGCTGCCTGGTCTCCCATGGGGTGCAGGGCCCATGCACTTGGGCCATCCTCCACTGCACTCCCAGGGCCACAGCAGAGAGCTGGCCTGGAAGAGGGGCAACTGGGACAGAATCCGGCGCCCCGACCGGGACTAGAACCTGGTGTGCCAGCGCCGCAAGGCGGAGGATTAGCCTACTGAGCCGTGGTGCCGGCTGCTCCACTTCTGATCCAGCTCCCTCTAATGTGCCTGGGAAGACAGTGGAAGATGGCTCAAATGCTCAGGCCCCTGCCACCTGCATGAGAGACCCAGGTAGAGTCCAGCCAGCCTCTGGTTCTATTCACTGATGCAGACTCTGGAGTGCCATAGTTAACACTGTCGAGGGGTCTCCTCTATAAGAGGGGTGAGCCGTTGCATGCCCAGGAGACCCAAAGGTGAACTCAGCTGTTTCTCCCTCAGGGACAGGCAGCCTGGCATTCTCCCTACTCTTTGCCTGGACTTTCCTCGCAGCTTATCCACCTGCCTCCCTCCATAGAGCTTTTTGAGGGTGGTGACTCTTCTCATTTAACTCTGCAACCACATGTTCAGCCCAAGGGAGGTGTTTAGTAAATGTCTGTTGCAAGAAGTGATGCTAAATGGCTCTTCAAGTCTGTGAAAACAAAACCGATCCTGTCTTTCTTTTCAGTTGTTCGTTAGGAAGTAGTCATTGAGTCCATCTTGGGTGAGTGCCTGGGTAGTCCTGGAAAAACAGGATCTTCTCTCAGAAGACTTCCAGTTCCCTAATACAACAAAGAGAACGGAACAACTCAACCAAAATACGCTCACCAGTGAATGGCCTCATGGTGGAGACTGGACCCTCAGCTTTATCAGAGGGTGCTGGGAGGAAGCCAATGGAATCAAAGGCATTTGGGATGTTGCTGTTGCCTTTGATATAGTCGAGTCAGCACAGATAAAGCATAGGTGGAGAATAATGGTTTGTCTCGCCATTAAACACCCAACTGTGCATGTACACATGGCCCCCACCTTGGGATTTTTCCACCAGTGCTAAAGTGATATGCATTCAGTAGAAGCCGTACATCAGATTTTCCGTTGGATATTTTCCCAGGCTGGTGATATGCAGTCTGATTCTCTGTACAGTGCTGGATACGACAGTGAGCACAGTGCCCAGGCAGTCCCCCAGTGAGCAGAGAAAACCACCCATGCTCTACAGTATGCTCTGTTGCCAGCGTTTTTTGGATACAAGTATTTGATAAATTATGAGAAGTAGTCAATACTTTAGCATTGAACACATTCCAGAGAGGCTAAGCTAAGTGATGGTGTATGGTATATTTGGACCTAGGATGTTTTCTACTTTTGTATGATGGGTTTATTGGAACAAAGCCCCATTAAAAATCAAACAGCATCTGGTTCTCAGCATATCTCAAAGTAGTTTTCGCTGCAAGGGAGACAGAGATGCGAAGCTTTCAAATCAAATAGCTTGGCATGCTGGACTCTGATTTCCATTGGTCTTCTCTTGGTTATGAAGACACTGACTTGTCTCCTGGGTCCTCGTCTATCTTCAAGAAATTGTCAGAACAGGAGGGTGATGCCAGGGGCACATGAGTGGTGTCCTCATGACCAGACTGCCCTGGACGAAAGATAACACATATCACATCTGGGTGACTCCAGCAACAAAACTTACCAGACATGTTGTAAGCCCAGCATGTCTCACGGATCATGCCTAAGAAAATGAGTAGATCACATAAAACACGTGTTGGAGAATGCACTCCATTGGCTTTGCAAAACTTGACTGAACCTCCTTGCTCAGGAAATTCCGCCCATGCCTCGCCAGGTTTCAGGAGGGAGACTCGGGCAGGAAGGGGGAGCGCTCTGTTTGCTCAGCATCTAGCACTGAGCAGTGCTTGTGACAGCCCACATCGCGGCCGTGAATAACAAGTATATCACAAGGGTTCTCAAATATGAAAGTGGAGTTGGAACAAAGAGCAGGCACCAGCCAGACTTCCTCCGTTAAAGATTATCCAACGTGTCACCTGGGTGCCAACATTCCCATAAATCCCAGCAGCTATAAGCAGCTCGATGTCACCTAGTGCAGGCTTTGAAACCCTGCCCGGGATCTCGTAGCATTCCACACGACGACCTCATCACAGGGGAATGAACTTTATCTCAAAGACTTTAAGTGTGTTTGCTTTAAAGATGATTTACCATGCTGCACAGTGACCAACTTTCCTAAATTAAACCTGATCTCTTGTTATAATTATGTAGCGCACGATTTCATCAGGAGGAATCTCTCAGCTAGCAAGCGTAAATCTCTCTAGGTTGGCCTCTCCGTGGATCAGAAGGCCGGGTCCCACGTCTGTAGAAGCACAGATAGGGAGGTTCCCCTTCTGGGCCGGGCGGGAAGCAGGACCAGAGATCTGTCAGAGAGACAGGCCGGAGGACGCTTCCTCCTTCTAGACAACAATTTGTCTCTTTTTCTTTTGGAAGGTACAGTTCTCAAGGCTCATGATTTGTGATAGAGAG